TCAACAAACAATCGACAGGAACAGCACGTACACTGCTACTTCTTGGCGAGAAACCCCCACAATACAACACTCCACCAATTAACGCCTTCCACAAGCTAGATACCACCACCTGCTTACCCATACCTATAAATATCCACCAACAGTAATCACAATTCACACAACATTCAGCCTTGATAATGGATGCAGAACGCATTCGAAACGCGTTGGCCAACTCATCACTATCTACAACTTTTATCCGTTGTTCTAACAACGTTAAGACGGCTTATCGACTTCTTAAGAAGAATTCTAAGAAGAAAGTAAACCTACAGACATCGGTCTTGTTTAACAAAATCTGCCTACAAGAAAATCTGTCACCAAAGTACACCAACATCCTTTTCAATAGGTAAAGGTCCGAAGTACACTGAAGAATTACTTTTGCATTACAAAAGAAAGTATAGGTATTAATCCACACATATTGAAAATTCCATGCAGTGCAAACAAAAGTTAAAACTTTTAATAGCTAAATATCTAAATATTTTATTTCAGCAACCTTTATACCAGCCTGTTCTTACACAAAATCAGTAAAAACTTAAGTCTACAATTAAGAGATCATTTAGTAATGCAGGAACATTACCAATATTTACAGGTGAAACTAAATACTTTTTTTTTTCATAACACTCATACTATCACCTTTGTGCAATAAATTAATTCATAACCAAATAGCAGTAGGTTCTCTTTTGAACTTTAATATCAACATTTCTAGAAAACCTACCATAAAGATTTATGAATTAACATAACACACATATACATGGATGAAAAAGTACAAAACCTATCAACTTTTCTTGACTTAGTTAAGCATACCTATTTTAAAGAGCTAGTACCTACTTGAAAAGAAATCTAAAATAAAAATGAAGCACAATATCTTAATTTAAGCATTAGTGTTATTAATCAAACATTATCCAAGGTTTAGAATAAAACAGAATATTTTATGTGTAAAGTTAAAAATTTTCCATTTCCTGACAAAAGCATTATAAAGAAAATAACTGTAAACTTAACTATCAAACTTCATTACATTTTGTTAGAATTTGTTGTAATTTGGAGGATTAAGTTGAGAAAGGGCTCAAACACTAACACTTTTGACTAGTTTCTTCTTTTAACAAATTACACACAGAATTTTTTTTAACTTTATGGCAACTTCAGTACAATTCATTTTTCACTAAAATGTATAACATTAAAAATTCTGTCACTTTCCATAAAATGTTAAATGAAGATGTGACGAACATTAACTTTATAAACCAACAGTCTCTATGGATTATGCATAACTTTCTTTATCTTAGCCTTACATAATCTAACACAAACCTAAACATTCTATCTTTCAAAGTTATAATTTTATTCAACACCAATATAAGGTATGCTGAGTCAACTGTTTACCACAGTGTAATCATTGACTCAATATATTTCATACAATGACTACAGTCAATATAGAATTTAAATAACTTTTCATCCTATACCTAATCTAAACATATGATATGACATATAGATAGATATTTATATATATATATATATATATATATATACACACACACATATTTATCACTTCATAAAGGTTTAAATTTGAAACTAAATCTGTAATCTCTAACTTTCCTCAAACTCTTTGTTAACTTTTCTCAAATTATCTTTCCACTTAAGTGCTGGCCATCTTTAGTTCTACATGTGAGAAGAGTGGAGGGCACAAGGTAAGGTTCACTTCATAAATCAGAAGCCACCCTTTCAGTTTCACTGTTTCTACTTCTAAGTTCTAGTTGGAACTTACCACATACTAAGTAAGAACTAGAAGCGTTTCTATAATTTATACTTTAATCAACTCAATATATATTACAGTTATTTAGAGTATTAGACAGATTTAATACATAACAAGTTTCTTAAATCACGGTAGTAAATACATTGACTGAATCAGTGAATGTGATATGCATGATACACAAACTTTGATAAAGCTTTACATATAACAATTCTATAACTCCTTTCACTTCAGTTCCAGTGTTCAACATTCGCTCTGCAGGCGCCAACCCAGTCAGGTATTCTGTAGTAACACTACTAACAACAGCGTCGGTACACAACAGAACTAATGTACACAGCGTGGTCACAAGTAAATAGACACCACCTTTCCAGACCAAATGAAATTTTTTAGTCATATTCACATGAATTGATATTTATAATTAATTAATATGTAGTAGATCTTCCTTTCTCTTCGTTGATTCTTTGGGGCATCGTGAGAATCATCTCGTCAATTTTAGATTGTAGAATTTTTGCCCACTCTTGCTTCAAAACTTGGAATAGATCGCTCTTCGAAGTTGGTTTTTTTGTTGTCTCTTGACTTGCCAGTCGAGTATGGCCCAGAGGTTTTCGATGGGGTTCATATCAGGAGATTAGCTTGGCCACGACAACTTCTGGATGCAATTTTCTTCCTGCCACTTTTGGGTGTTTCTAGCAGTGTGACATGGTGCTCCATCTT